TTAGTTTTTATAAATATTATAATTTATTTATTTATTTTTAAATAAAAAATATAATATAAAAATGCTGGTCAAAAATTAATTATGGTCTTTTAATATTTTTGATTGAATTTTTTAAAAATAATTATAGAAATTAAAACAAAAATCTATATAAAAGAAATATATAAATTTTATAAAAATCTACTCATTTTCAAAATATTCAATAAAAAATAAAAAAAATATCTATAATTAACACAAAATAAAAATTTTTAAAAATATTTTATAAAAAAATAAATTAGAAACAACTTTAATAATATATATTTAAGTTTAATTTTTTTCATTCTATTTTGTATTTATTTATAGTTACCTGAATTAATTTTTTATTTTTTTTAATTTCTTAAAAAATAGTTTTTATATAATTATTATTCATAATATCTTTTAATCCCGGTTTTCTTTTATATTAAAGCTAAAATTAAAATTACCATTCTCTAAAATTTTCTTCAAGAAGATCATTTTATTTTTTAAATTTGTAGCATTTTGATTAAAAAAAGGACTTGTTTCATTTTAATATTTAAAAGTCTTTTTTTAAATTTTAGTTATTTCTTCTATTTCTTCATTATTTAATTATTTATTATAATTTTTTAGTCTTTATTTTTCTTAATTCATTTAATTTTCATTTTATTCCATTTCTTTTAAACTCATTTTTTTTAATTATCACCATAATCATCATTTATTGTACAACAAAGACTTCTTTATACCTAAAATACAGTATTTTTTGTTTAAATATTTTAAAAAAATATTTTTTTAGAAAGTAAATTAAACATAGTATATATATATATATAAATTATTTTTAATATAATAAATATAATATAATATAATATAATATAATATAATATAATATGCATATAAATATATATATTTTAGTTATTTATCATTAATATTATTAATTTTAGTTTTAATTTTATTAAACTGCATCACTAATTTAATGTTAAAAGTTATCTTCTTTAATAATATATTAATTATCATTATTTTAGTTATTATCATTAAAATCATATTAATTTGGAAAATCTTATTTATTACATCTTGACTAGAATTAAATATTTAAAAAATCATTATAATTATTTGTATCATTAACATTTTTATTAGCAATAATATTTTAAAATTTAATATTATTATAATTATATTATTAAATTTTATTTTAATTAGCATTTTAAAATTTCTCAGGTTTCAGATATAAATATTAATTTGCGATAATAATTTTTTTTACAAAATCTTTTTAATTATTATCTTCAACTTTAACAACCATGTTTTTAACTTTTTTATAATTTATAGGTTACTTAAATTATTCCCTTCTCGTACTTATATTCTTATCGCTTTCTGTTTCAACAATAATGTTGTTTTTATCTACCATATACTTAAGAGTTGTCGGAGAAAATATATTTTGGGCAGATTTTATAATTTATTGTTAATTATTATTATTATTATTATTATTATTATCATTATTATTATTATTATTATTTATCATACTTGTATGTCTCTATATTTATAATTATACAGGTTGACTTTAATGTTAGATTTATAATTATTATAGATTATTTTGATATATTTATTAGTATTATTTTATTTATATTGTAGTTTATGAGTTTTTTAATTAGTCTTATTAGGATTAATTTTTAGATAATTATTGAGAATTATTATTTTCTAACATATTAACACTATGAATAGAGGTTTAGCTAGTTGATAATTTTAATTTCTAACAATTGTTAATATCATAGTTATTTTTTTTTAAATTAAATTTTCTACTATTTTTATTGCATTTAGTATTTTTTTATTTTAAAAAATTGATGTTTTATGAAAAATCTAGGTTGTTGGTTTTAATTTCATTAATATAATTAAATAAAAATACAAAACATGCAAAAACAATCGTAATAGAAATAAAAAGTCCTAACTAAAAATAAAAACTATTAACTTCTTAATAAAATTTTTTATTAGAAATCAGCAAAATTTATTAAAAAATGCATTCTTTTGTTTATTTTTTCTCACAATCGTTACTAAAATAATTCAAAATAAAAGCATTTTCTCCATTAAGATTCATACAATTTAAAAAATATGGTTTTTTTTCAAATTAGTATAATTGAATATTATTTTCTCCTAATATTATGTATTAATTTTCTTATATTTCCATTATTTTCTTGATATTAAAGTTTAAGTTTTGTACATATTTATTATGATTTAATAAAATATTATTTTTTTGAAATGAACTTTTTTAAATAAAGACAACTTTCTTATTGTTTAAAGTCAAAATAATTTATTTTTAAGTTATTTCTAATTCCTTTACTTTTTCGAATAAAATGTCATTATATTTACTCATTATTTAATAACATAGTTTTTGTCCTTAATCAAATATTTCATTTATTTCGAACTTTACTAATGAAAATATATTTTCACTTTGATTTATTATTGCAAATATTGCATTTTCATAAATTTAGATATTTTATATATAATTAAATTCTATTTGACAAGATAAAAATAATTTTTTATTTACTATTTCTAGAATGTATATTGCATTTTGATTATTATTTAATAAAAATATTCGATTTTTATTGGCTTTTATTTATAATATCATATCATTTATTCTAAAAGAATCAATTAATTAAAAATATATATTAAATTGATTTTGTTATATCTAATATATTTAGTATATTAATAAAATATTTTAATCGATTACTACCATAAAGTTTTCAAAAATAAATGCTTACTTTAAACTCAATGTATGGTATATTTTATAAGTTTCTAAATTTTGAATCAAAAATAAGTCGTTATTGATTACACATAATATATTTTTGTTCCAATACATCAAATTTATATAATTAATTGCATTTTCCATTTAATTAAATAATAAGTATTTTTTTACAAGTAAAACTAAATTGCTATTTTCTATTAATTAAAAATGATAAAAATATAATGAAATATCTATATAATATATTTGATTGTTTTATATTATTATATTTCCAAATATATTTTATTAAAATCCATAGTTTGATAATTTATTTAACATAGTATTCTAATTTTATATATAACATTATATATCTCCTTACATATATTTATATTATTCTTCTTCTTTTTTTATTGTTACATTATAATAGTTATCAATATCATTTAGTTCGTAGTATACTTAATAGGCAACATTGTTTTCTTAATTTTAATATTCAATTTCAAGATTTGGGAGTGTTATAAATTCGTTTTAATTTGATTTTTTTATTATAAAAATTAATATTAATAATAATTTTATTACCATTTTTTTTTTAAATATATTATTTATCCAATTTTTTTTATTATTATTAAATTTTATTTAATATAATTAATCTTGTTTCTTATTTTTTAAATGACGATTTTATTCTTTATTTATAATGATTATATTTTTTAGTATAATGAT